TGTGTGGGGGTGCGATGGGGGGGGTCAGGCAATGAAGAGCGGAGAAGGAGAGGATGTGGAGGGCTGCGGGGTGAAGCCTGAGGAGAGACGTGGAGAGGACTGAGTCATTCCGACTGCCGCCCTCCGCCCCCACCACGGAGGACCAGATTGGACAGGGCCTCGGCAGAGGAGGAGGCGGGCTCCATCCGCAGGGTACGGGAAGGGCACCCAAGAGCCATTCAGCCACTTGGTTTCATGGCCGCGTCCCTCAGCCACATCCCAGCTGCAGCTGCTCCTCATCCATGAGCTGACAACTCACACCCATAATTCATTCATAAACGTTTATTTCCATCTAAATCAGCAAATGAATACATCCATCGGTGGCACGCGTGTGCCGCGCAGGGCAATGATCCGCTTCTCGGGCTGCCACCGGGAGGCTGGCCATGGAGTTTTGACGGCCCCGCGTGGGGGATTAAGTGGCCTGAGCAGTTGCTTCATGGTCACTTCCAAGGCGTGAGATCAACCTCATTGCCCGCCGTCTACAGATGAGGTTGGCTCCGGAGCTGCACGTCCTCTGGCTTGGAAGAAAGACTGGACGTCCCCAGTGGGCCACTCACATGGAGGGTGGCCGTGATGGCCATCCTAACAGTGGTGGTGACCCTGGCAGTGGTGGTGACCCTGGCAGTGGTGGTGATCCTAACAGTGCTTGTGATCCTGGCAGTGGTCGTGATAGCAGCCGACAGTGCACACAGTGCGTGTTCCAGGGGCTGCGCTGAGTATTGCAGAAAAATCCCATCCTCTCTCAGGATTAGGTCCTGATGTCAGCATGTGAGAAGCAGACACTTGTGTCTGGCCACAGTACCCCCCCACCCTTGACGGTCCCTTAAATTATCCATAAAGTTCAGGGCCTGTGGCATTTATGTTCCCGATCAGGGTTGTATGTATAATAAGAACAATGTGACTGTGTCTAGATGTTTCATCAGCCCCTCGCCCACACCCATCTGTCCGGGACACTGAAAGCAGGGGTGGGTAGTGACCCAACTTAAAACATTTTGCTTGCTCATCCTCTCTACTCCATCTCTCTCTTCCTCCTCTTTTCTCCTCCCCACCCCCCACCCCCCCGGCTATCTACCAAGCAACGGATATTTGATCCCTGGCTCACTTAGTGGGATGCCTGGGTGGCTCAGCAGTTGGGTGTCTGCATTTGGCTCAGGTCATGATCCCAGGGTCTGGGATCGGGTCCCACATTGGGCTCCCTGCAGGGAGCCTGCTTCTCCCTCTGCCTGGGTCTCTGTTTCTCTCTCTTTCTCTCTCTCTCTGTGTCTCTCATGGATAAATAAATCTTTAAAAATAAATAAATGCTCACTTGGAGCCACTCCACTCCTTGTCACTTCACGCTTACAGCAATCCCCACCACCACCCTCCGCACGGGAAGCCATACTGTTACTGCTTCCATGGAAGATACTGCAGCTCAGAGAAGTTCAGGGATGTGCGAGGTTGCACAGCTAAAAGACCGTGGAGCCGGCATGCAGACCCCCCAACCAAGACAGACCTTCAAGGCTGTCACCCTGGAAGGCAGGAGAACTCTTTTTGTGCCATCCCTGCTGCAACCCCCTTCCTCGGGCCCCTTCAGCTTGGTTGCACTTGAATTTCAGACCAACTAACGATCCAGCTCTGACCAGTTTGGGCCTCACTTTTTAAAAATATGTGTTTCAACCAGTCCAGCCCTGCAATTTAATAGGCAATATTGTATGCATATTAAACACCAAATGATTGTTAACATATTTATTGAAGCTTAACAGGCATCCGGCATATAAAAGATGACTCTCTTATATGGCTGTCAGACCTCAATAAACATGTTTAATAATTAATTGGCGTTAAGCAAACATAATTGTGTGATTCTAAATTAGGTGTTCAGTGAAGCGTACTGTGCATGGAAAACCACAGCGGTGTTTTATTACTTCAAGTCCAGGCCATCAGTCTGGCTTTCCGCGGGTCAAGAGAAGCGCCCCCCACGTCAAAGTTCCACGCCGTGTCAAAGGCCTCCTGATGCCTCCCATCAAAAAAGGCACAAGCCCTTTTGTTCCTAGACCTGGAGATCTGAGAAGTGTTTCTCATTTGCTTTGCTGTTTGTCTTGGGGTTCTGAGAGTTCTGAGCTGAGAAACTGTGCGATGTGAAAGATGTTTTCCCATATCCGCCTTGAGCTGAATGAACCAGCCCCGCCGTCAACTCCATCGCCCCCCAGCACAGGTGATTCGCGGGATCTGCTACAGTTCTGCTCTCTCAATTCTCCACAAACAGCGAATGAACAAATACTGAACCATAGCACCTAAGGGGAGATGCCAGACCAGGTTCCTCTGAGCCCCTGGGCACAATACTTTTTTTTTTTTAATCCACACATAACTTTGTTTTATGTATGTTTCCATGTAAAGCCATCGTACTTAATCCGTACTGTTGATTCTTCAGCATTGAACGCAGGGCCCGCAGCGTTGGAACTCGCACTCCTGACCCGTGTTCTCCAGCAGGCACCTCACAGCTCACAGCCTTCTTGTGCCTGGGAACATGAGATAGCACGTCGGCGCTGTGCATGTTATTTATTTATTTTTATTTAAATTCAGTTAGCCCACATACAGTACATCATCAATTTCAGTTTTTCATTCATCAGTTGCATATAGCAACCTTTAAAATACCAACAAAAAGCACAAAAGCATGAACCAACAAGGCACCAAGTAGACCACGAAAGGGGCACTCATTTGCAGCATGAGAACTGAAACGAGAAGGCAAACCGTCACCTTGTTCTACTTCAGCGGGGAACGCTGCTGTCGGATGATTTCTGTTTTTTGGCACCTCTCTACTTACCGGCAGGCACGTGCCTGCCTGTGGTGCCCAAGTGCCACAAACATTGATTTTGAGAGTGTGAATAATTTTGCTGGTAGGTAAATTCACAAATTTATATGTATAAATATACGGGATCCTTGTGCGATGATCAGATTCCATGATGCACAGCCACCTGTAGACCTAAGCATCGTACATCCTCGGCCGGCCCTTAGTACAAGCTCCTCAGAACGTTGTCTGCTAGGGACGCCTGGGTGGCTCAGCGGTTGAACATCTGCCTTTGGCTCAGGGTGTGACCCTGGGGTCCTGGGATCCAGTCCCACATCGGACTCCCTGCATGGAGCCTCCTTCTCTCTCTGCCTGTGTCTCTGCCTCTCTCTGTGTCTCTCATGGATAAATAAATAAAATCTAAAAAAAAAAAAAGGACATTGTCTACTTAATGTCAGTGATGCTTTAGCTCATAGTAGGTGCACAATAAACATTGGTCATGTTCAATTGCGTGGTTTTCAAATAAGGACTGAAAATAGATGTCGTTTGAAAATGCTCTTTGCTTTCCTTTAGGTACCGTTGTTTTCTATGTTTCCTGCTGGTATTTATTGTCTCAATCTAGTTAATATTCTCCCTTGGACTTTAACTTTCTACCTGCCCCTAAATCCTTTAGAAACTTGAAAATCCATTTTCTTAATGACCACAAACCCCTTAAGATCCATGCTGCAACAAGGAGGCCTCACGGGCTGGGTTGTAAAACACCCTGTCCCCAGGATGTCATCTGTCTATGAAGCCTGTCCACACACACCCTACAGGGAGGTGGGGGGAATCAGGCTTACGGCCTTTTCAGAAGAAGCATCAGGAAGCATCAGAAAAAGTCACCCTCATGGCAACCCATTTGGCACCGAGCTAGGCCCCTAATGGGTGTTCTAGTACCTTCAGATCTTCCAGGGATCACAGTTTCCATCCTGGCCCTACCAGAAAGCTTAGAGCCGCATGTGGAGCTAGGCTCCAGGGCCTGGGGCAGCTCTAGGTTCTGCAGGGATCCTTTGGAAAATTATATTTTGAAGACTGGAATTTTATCCATAGGCATTTTTAAAAGTATTTTATTTATTTATCCATGAGAGACACACAGAGAGAGAGGCAGGCTCCCTGCGGGGAGCCCGATGCAGGACTCGATCCTAGGACCCCAGAATCATGCCCTGAGCCCAAGGCAGATGCTTAACCGCTGAGCCACCCAGGTGCCCCTTATCGATTGGCATTTTGAAACATATAAATAAACGTCTGTTGTGAAACCTGTGTGTGTTTATTTGAAAAGTTGGAACATAGAGAACAGAGCGGAGAACATACACGATCTCACTGTCACCGAAACACACACATTCAAACATTTTGTCGTATCAGGTCATTTTTTTCTTCTGTGCACGGGTTCTTAGTATAATTTCAATTATACTGCAAATGAAAGTTAGTCTTCTGCTTTTTGTTCCCTGCTTAGCATGCTATCATAAGCATGTTCTGTGTTATTACACAGTTCATCACCCTTATTTCCAACAGCTGCAAACCAGCCCGTTGATTGATTGCGCGACAGTTTGCTAGCTGTCCCACTCTCGTTAGATGTTGTCTCTCGGTTGTTTTAGCTCTTTCTGGAAACAAGAGTACGATCTACTTTTTCCTTTTTCCTAAAGCTAGTGCATGTCTGGGATTGTTGCTAGCCCAGGTTGTCAGAAGCAGGGCTATTGGATCAATGGTGGGGACGTTTTTAAGGCCCTTGATGATGCAACCTCATCATTAAGCACGGGAGAACATGTCCATCTTACCAGACGCTTCCCAAAATTGTGCTACCATTTTGTAATCTTCGCTGAGTGTAAAAGAAACCCAGAGTTTTTCCCTCACTGTGGCAGTGCTACAAAGGACCTCCACCTTCAAAGGCCCAGGCCTGCGTTCCCGTGAGACGTACACTGTGATTGCACACATGGAGGGGTACACGAGTGTGTGTACGAACTACAATATATGTTACATTTAATTTTTTAAATTCATGATATTGGCAATAAATTTCTCTGTCTTATGCCTTTCCTTAGTATTTCATGAAAAGTCTTACCTTCCAGGACTTTCTGCCTAATAGGCTCAGGGTTTTGTTTGGATCTATTCATTTTAACTCTCTCTCTCTCTCTTTTCCTTTTTCTACAAATGGAAAATGCAGCTCTTGAGGATGACAATTGCCAAGCAGAGGCTCGGAGATGAAGAAATCGGCGTGCGGCACTTTGCAGCTCATGAGCGTGAAGACTTGGTTCAGCAGCTGGAGACAGCTAAGGAACAGGTGACTGGTAACATCTGCGAAGAGTGGGGGATGTGTGTGTGCAGTGGGACTGCAGCCCCGGTTCCCAGAGAGGGTGAGGTGCCTGGGATGCTGGTCGGAGGCTGGAGGAGGGTCTAAGCCGAATGCTTTGACTTTCTCAGGGCTCTGCTGGTTCCCAGGCCACCTCTTGTGGTTCTTGCCTCCAGTGAGTCCGCTCTCCTACTTTGGGTGCCGTGGTTCTGGACCCAAGAAACATCCCCCCTACTCGGGATAGACAAGGAAGGAACCAGATGTGGCAAACTGGCCTTAATTTGCAAGTTTGCTGAAGTGCTGGGTGATGCTTTTTAGGCAAAATCTCAGCGGGTCCAGAGGCCTAGTTAGGGAACAAGGAAGAGAGCCTAGACCTCATTTTCCTTCTTTCCCTAATTGGTTTTGAAACACAGAACAAGATTTCTGGGTCTGGAGGAGCTTGAGAAAGTTTGTGCGTGTAAGACCCCGGCTGCCGTTCCCAGTGTCTGGATTTGTCTCCCGGGGCCTCTGGCTTTGGGGGATGCTGCAGTTGAGATGGCATTGGTTCTGATGCTTCCAGAACCGATACTGGACCCACCCTACCCTGGACGTAATGAGCGTCTGGCAGAAAGTTGCTCCCTTCCTTAAGCTGTGATCCAGTGTGTGGTGCTTGCGGTTTTATAGCATGCGGGTGGTATTAATATGCCTTGTAAAAGTCAGTCAACCAAGCAGAAGGCTCTATCTCTGGCCATAAAATGATGTCTGAAGAACATCTTAAGTAAGGACACTTCCTTGGTTGCAGATTGAGTCTCTGGAGCATGACCTGCAGGCCTCTGTGGATGAGCTCCAGGATGTTAAGGAAGAACGATCTTCCTACCAGGACAAAGTGGAGAGGCTCAACCAGGAGCTAAACCACATCCTGGGTGGCCATGAGAACCGGATCATTGACGTGGACGCCCTGTGTATGGAGAACAGGCAAGTGGCCAGGCCCAGGAGGGCACTCCGGCCGAATGCTGGCTGGCACCTCCCTGCAGCCCGATTCCCATTTGCCTTCCAGTGAGAGTCCCAACGCTGAAATGGTGGCATTAATGTCACCTATCAGTTGTGAAAGTCCGAAAAGAAGCCCCGCACACCTACCTGCCTGCGTACCTTCCCCTTTCTCTCTCCCCTGACCCTCCCCACCCTTCAGGTGGGCAAGAAGGGGAGGGAGCCAGCGAAAGCTGCTAGGTATTGCTATCAAGGAAAGGGAAAAGAATAAGAAAATAAATTGAGAAACTCCCCTAGCTGTGTCTTTTCCCCGAGGCAAATTTCAGTGTGTGCGTGCCCATTTGTGCCCGCGTGTGAGCGTGTGTGTGTCTAATTTAATGTTATGTCTGGAGTCGCCTCTTCCAGCCTGCCTTCCCAGTGGAATCCTCTTAATGAGAATTATGTGAAAACTGTGTTGCTGTCCCTCAGGGGATCTGTGCAGAAGGCTGTTCTAAAGTGGGGTTTCTGTGATTTGGGCATATTTGACCTTGATCGCATCCATTTAAGAAAAGGTCACAAAGATGCACTTTTCTCCTCCTCTGCTGGTGGTGAGGAGGCATTCTGTGTACACGATGGCTCTGGAGGCGTGCCGTTTCCTTTTTTTCTGGCTCCTGCTTGCGTGTCTGTATTTTTGTGTCACTCCCAAACCCTTCCGAGGTGTATGTTTTCTTTTCCAGGTACCTTCAAGAGCGGTTAAAGCAACTCCACGAAGAGGTCAACCTCTTGAAGTCAAACATCGCCAAGTACAAGGTAGAGAATCCCGACGATGCTGGCAGTGATTCACCGTGATACGTCTAAATGCCATCCTATTTTAATTCCCTGTCGTGTGCCAAAGACATCTGAGTGCTTGCCTGCCCTCCCAGATAGAGTAAAGAGCTTTAACGTGGGTAGCCAGGGAGAGTTAAACCCAAAACAATGAGCGCAACAAAAATAGCCTCTGCAAGAGCCCCCCGTTGCCGTTACCTGGACGGGGCCGCGTGACAGCCTCGGTCCACGCAGACTTAGGTTCCTCACCTGCTTTTCGATGCAGTGTCGTGTCATCAGACACTATGTGTCTCATAATCACCCACGAGAAAATGGTTTCTGAGCAAAGGGAAGCGACCAAGATGGGGGAATCACAACCTAAGCGAGGATGTTCACATCACACTGAAAGGACAGAGTGTTTAAATTCTCCCACTGTTGTTTAGACTAATTCCAGCACCATTAGTCTGATAATATCTATTTCTGCAGATGTTCGTTGTGAGCGTTATAATTAGAAACATCTCCTGGGCTTCTCTGCTTTGAAAATAGATTGATTTCTCTTCCTGAGGGTGCACTTGTACAGCAGTCTAGATGCTTGGGAGAACCTTCTCATTTTCCTGGCTTTCGACGTTAGCTTTTTGCTCAGAAGCCTCTGTGCTCCTCTTCCTTTTCCACGCTGTGGGGGCCACACTCTACACCAGTCTATATATATATACGCATGGAGCCAAAGAAGAATACGGCTTTTGAAGTTGTATAATTAATACATACATTTAAAAAATGTGTGTATGCATTCGTTTAACAGCCTTAATTTGGCTTTTCAATATGCCAAGCACTGGCTATACAGGGCGTTATCAATTTTAACGTGAGGGCCCGTGATAGGAATGGCACTCGGGTGGCACACGTGCACCTCCGAATCTTGAGTCCACGGCAGCCGTCCTCACCGGCCAGGACTTTTTCCAGCCCAGCCACCGGAAGCCTTCCAAAGGCCAATAACGATCTTTTGGCATTGGTGAATGAAAGTAGACCCGTTCTCCCTCTCATGCCTATTCAGAAGGGGTTTCCATAACTAGTGACTTCACACATTAGATGGAGTTCTTGCTTCAGGCTTGATTTAATTTAATGAATACACATCGAGTGCCTTTTATATATAGGAGAAGGTAATTGCTGTCATTCTGCTGGGCACCAACTTTAAAAACAAAACAAAACCCACAAAACTCTCTACCAGGTCCATAAATTTCAGGACTCTTTGACAGGGACTCAGAATTTTAAAAGTTGGGTCAGCGCTGGGGTTTTGCCAAGCAAGGGTTCCTGTGTGCCAGATAGGGGGGGAATGCGTCTCCTACAAGTAGGTATTTTTCTATTATTTGGCTTTTTTTGATAGAGGTTTGTATTTTCTCCCCATGCTGCTGTAGAATGCTCTCGAGCGACGGAAGAACTCCAAAGGCCAGAGTAAATCTAGCAGCAGTGCGCTGACTGGAGTCCTGTCTGCAAAGCAAGGTAGAGTGTGTCCTCTGGAGGGACCTCTTATGACCACAGAACTCGCGGGAGATCTGGGCCCACAGCTCTGTTTGTGGACTGGGAACCAAGGTGATTCTTAGAACAGCCCTTCCCAAACCTCTGCCTGCATCAGCATTGCCTGGAGGGCTTGTTTTAAGACACAGATTACTGCCCCCTCCCTCCACACCCCGCAGAGTTTTCGATTTAGTAGGTCTACTGGGGCCCCCAGAGAATATGCATTTCTGCAAAGTTCCCAGGGTCCCTGCTGCCGGTTCTGGGATCCTGCTTTGAGAACCGCTGCATTAGATGTGTCTCTAATAACAGGACCCCATTCGCATCTGTTCCCCTATACTGCGCTCTTCCTTCAGGAATGCTTTCCCTGCTCTGACCCCCGCTTTAGCATCCCTGAGTACATGCTCCAACCTCATCGAGTTTCTCCTTCTTCTGGCCTCTGTGACCAGAATAGAAAAGTCTCACAGCTGCTGAAATCATTTTATCATAGAACATGTGCCTATTTCAAAGAAGCTTTTATTGATTGCAATTCTGTTCCTCCTCCTTGTCGATTCTGATGAAAAATAATGATCTTCCAGGAACAGTCCAGGGGAATAAATAGCAGAGAGCTTGCTTCTGACACTTAATATTTGGGATTTCAGTTCTCGACGTAAGCCTCAGGTTGAACATGCCCGACTGGCCCACTTTCGGGTTGTCGCTGTGCAGACCAGCAACGATCATGTGGCAGTCTTAATCAGGGCTGGAGTGGCTAGGAAAAATAAAAGTGCTGAATCTCCAGCCAACCTGATAACCAAGGCACTTTTCCAAGCAACTTCTGTTTTTCCACTAAAAAAAAAAAAAAAAAGAAAGAAAGAAAGAAAAAAAGAATACCCTAGAATTGTTTTTAAACAGAAAACTACAATATTCACAGAAATGTGAAGTGGCCCATGTGAGTTTTAGCTCTGAACACCCTTGATGGCCAAACATCTTTGGAGGGCGAGGCCCAGTCTTACTTATCACGGGTGTGGGGAATGCTGGCCACACTCAGTCGCCACAGCAGAGCCATATGCCTGGCTCAGCCTTTCTGGAAAACCTCTGGCAACTTCTTTTGAAAAACCTTGAACTCATCCCCTTTGAGCAGCAAGAAGTAATTACAGATGTATGAAAGCATACTGCTTCAAGAAAGCTCTTCCTACATTAGAGCCACCAAAAAAAAAAAATCATAGGAAATAACATAAATGTCCAGCAGGAATTAAATAAATTATTGTATATCTACATATGGGCTACCAAGCTGCCATTACATCTTACGTATTAGAAGATATTAAGGATGGAGGAATAGGGTTAAGTGAAAGAAGAAGAGCTTTTTCCCATTCTAGAAGAAAAATGTATGAATCGGTGTATCTACGTGTAGGCATATAGAAAATGATCAGAGATACAGTGAGGGATTTTATTTTTTTCTGTCTGATCGGAGTACAAGTTGTATCTTTTTTTTGTGGTGACTCTTAGTTTCTAAAAACATGCGGACACAAAACATATTTTGCATTTGAAATAACGTCCCGTGTGATCTCGCCGTCCACTGAGCATACCACACTGTAGGAAACCGCCCCAAAGGAGCTCAGGACCAGAGTTATTGATATTTGCATGGCTGTGTGACCTTCAGCTAATGTTTTTAATCCGTCACCACCTTGCTTTCCTGTTCATGAAATGGGAATAAATAATACTTCCCAGGTGGGTTTTTCTTTAAATTGGGGGCCTCAGATGAGTTAGTTTGGAAGTGTTTTGAAAGGGCAAAATACTAGACAAATGCAAAAGATTCTTATCGCCTTAAAAAATTGCCAATAAAAGTCCATGAGACTTTCTTTGTGTCTGCTCAACCCTCACACTGAATTTTATTTTGTTTTACTTTTGACACCTGAAACGGAGTCTGCAATATAACATCATAGCATTCAGAAGCTGGGAGCCTCTCCCAGCTTCATTATCCAGGACAAACAGACGCTGGTTTGCATTCCAGTGTTCCCGAAGGACTTAACACTGAGCTGCAAACTTTATATCCCCCCTAGTTCAAGATCTGTTATCTGAGGATCATGGGTGCAGTCTCCCGGCTACTCCACAGTCCATTTCTGATCTGAAGTCTCTGGCAACAGCCCTGCTGGAGACGATCCACGAGAAAAACATGGTCATCCAGCACCAGAGGCAGACCAACAAGTAGGTGGCTGCACCCTTGGGGGCGGGGGGTGGACGGAAGAGATGTGGGAGGCTGGCTGCCGGCCGTGGGTGGCAGCCTGGTGGGACTGCAGGCCTTTGGGGAGGGGAGGGCAGCCCTTAGGTGTGGAAGGAAGCTTCCTCAACTGGAATGACGTGTCTGCATCACAACAGTATCTTAGCAGTTCTCCAGAGTTGGGTGGGGGCACACTACCAGCCATTGCACACTGAACACTCCCTCTGAGCCTATTACACACAGCTTTGACAGTACAACTGCGCGGGTAACTTGCCCTACCTCCCCTGCAGGTCCCCTCGTGGGGGGGGGGTACCCCTCAGGGCCACTGTAACCTATGGCATGACTTTGAGGGGTCCTGTCTAGCAGGAACGCCAAGCATCAACTTCCACGGGCACTTGGGCCTAGGAGGGAGTGTCATGTCTCTTCCAGAGAAGCAAAAGAGGTGGTGTGACGGGAACCATTGAAATACAGGCTCTCCCTTGGTTTTTAGAAGTATAGTGACGAGGTGGGGCAAATTCCCCTGAGTTATAGGAGCAGTGTGAGACACAGGCAAAATTGGAGGTGTTCAGAGCATGGTGAATAGGCAGTAAGAGCAACAGACACTGCAAACAGGGCTTGGCTTTGAGGACAAGCGACCACACTCCGAAGGGCCCCGCACTTGGTCCAATAGTCTTGACATGCTTAGTCATTTTTTAACAAGGCGGGCTGAGTTTTCATTTCACCGGGGGCTCCCCCAAATTACGTGGCTGATCCCACTTCTAACACCTCCACACAGAACCAACAGGAAGGCGCCGAACACAGGAGCAGGCACTGAGAAGCTGGGCTTCCAGGAGGAGGGGAGGGATGTGGGATCAGCTGGGCTTCCAGGAGGAGGGGAGGGATGTGGGATCGGTGTCCTGGCGACAGGCAGGGCGGGGGGGGGGGGGCTGGAAGATGATGGAGAGTATTGTAAAAACCAAAAAGAAAAAAGAGAAGCCGGGAGTGAAGGGCAGATGGCCGGGGATGAAGATACACGTACAGGAAGGCGGAGAGCAGTGGAGGGAGTCTCGCAATCTCAGCGGGATGACGGGGTAATTTATTGACAGAAGTTTTCAGAAATTCTTTTAAAAGAAAACCCCGAACCAAGGAATGAAATGGGCAGGTGCTAAAATGCAGATACTCCTCAGGGGAGGGAGAAGAAATGGAAATCTCCCCAGAATAGGTACGAGGTCTATTTTATCCAGGCAGACTCCCCCGCAGCCGGTGGTGTTCCGCATGAGCCTTCTCTGTCCTCGCTGACTCCCTCTGAAGCACCCACTGGGGCTCTTTGAAACCTTCGTGGGCCTTCTAAGCCCCAGTGGGTTCCCAGCAGGTAACCTGGGCTTCTGGTTTACTGAGAAAATAGACACTCTGCACCATGAGCCCCCAGAATGACTCTCCCCTCGAACCCGGGCCCTCCACCCTCCCCTCCTGTCTCCGGAGACACCCTGGCCCCCCAGCCTGGCGGGCCCCACCCCTTCCCTCCTCTGGGCCTGGCTGCCCTGTGAGCACCTCTTCCCACCTGCTCCCCCCGCCCCTCCTCTGGCCCCTGCTCTTCCCCCAGAAAGCACACGGAGCTCCCCGGACCCCCAAAGCCTTTGCCCAGCCGTGCAGCTCCCCCCTAAGTTCCGCTAACCCAGAATCTCTGTGCACAAGAGGGCCACCTTTGCTGCTTCAGCGGCCACCCCCTCAAAGTGTGTTCCGGGGGGGCACACACTTCCGTGTCAGAATCACTTGGAGGCACTGGTTTTGAAATGCAGATTCGGTGGGGGGTGGGGGGGGTGGGGGTGGGGGTGGGGGGGTCGGTTCTGGAAGGAATGTCCGGTTCTTAGATCTGAGCAAGCCCCAGGGGATGCCGTGCACAGGAAAGAAAGACCACCCCCGCTTCAACACCTCCCAAGACCTCTTCCCAAATTTTCCACAGCAATTTTCCTTCTGGGGTCCCCAGTACCCCCAAACCCCACTTTCTGAGTCTGTTCCTTTTACAGCTTCTCTGCCTCCCAGCTCCTGTCTTGCACTCACCTCCTTGGATTCCTCTGACTTTCTCACCCCCTTGATTCCCTCCACACCTCTCACTTCCACCCCAGGTCTCCGCAGGTCTCCTGCTCTCCTTACCCCGCCGGGGGGTGTGTGGGGGCACTTCATTCCCCCCCATCTTTGCCTCTCACTCTCTGCAGGCTCTCCTCACAGCTCTTGTCCCCACCTCGCCATCCAGAGCAGGACCCACATTTCCAACTGCTGGGTTGACAGGTTCCACATCCCTTCGGCCCTTCACATTCAAGGAATCCAGACCTGGGGCCGTCTGTTCCTCAGTACATTATAAGACCCTTCACAGTGCTTGTGCCCTTTGACCCACAGCCTGTGCATCCAGGAACTTATCCTAAAGGAAAAACTCAGTGGGATGCCCTCAGATTCATACATACGGGGTTCACCATGGATTCGTTTATAAGAGGGAGGAGAAAACAGCAACAGCCCAAATGTTTTTATTTGCATTTTATTTTATTTTGAGAGAGGGAGACTACAGGAGCGCAGAGGGAGAGGGAGAGGATCTCAAGCAGACTCTGCGCTGAGTACAGAGCCTGACTCGGGGCTCCATCTCACGACCCTGAGATCGTGACCTGAGCCACAATCAAGAGTCGGATGCTTAACTGAGTGAGCCACCCAGGCACTGCCCCCCTGAATGTTTTTAAGTTGGAGACTGGTTAAGATCATAGTAAATCCATAAGACAGAATATTGTGCCACCATTTGAAGTATGATTCGAAGAATATTTAATGGGTGGGCCCTGCGCACCGTCAGAATCACTGTTCTCTCCCAGTGGGGAGGATGGTGCTGAGCCCACATGGGTGCTTATGATTATTTAATGAATGGATTATCTAATCCTTTCTCTTGCTCCCTTAATACACTTTACGGTTTTCATGGATTTGGTATTTATTTCAGGTCCTTGTCGTGGGCCTTCAGTGTACACCCCCTCCCTGCCCCCTCTGCTTTGTCACCCCTTCTTCCTTGGGGAGACCCCATCCTCATCAACCCTCCAACCTCAGACCCCGGGCCCTCTACCACCGCCCACCCCAGCGCTCTCACACCTGCCCGCCAGCTACAGTTCAGAGCATGGCACAAACCTCCCCTAAAAAGCTGGACTTGACTTTTTTTGTTTGTTTCAAGTTTTTTCTTTAAATTCTAGGCAGTTAACATGTAGTGTGATACTGGTTTCAGGGAAAAGCTGGACTGTTAAAGCAGAGTCCTGCTCAGTACCCCCAGGCCGTCAGCCCGATGCTCCTGCCTCTCCAGACAGACTGATTTCCTAACACGTTCCTGCCATAACCCTCTGTGACCAGCACGCCCATAGCTACGTTCCATGGGCTCTCACCCTCTGTTTAAAAAAACAGACATGCTCGTTATACTAGGTTTAATTTTGAGGTTTTTTTTTTTTGTTTGCTTGCTTTTGTTTTTTCAGGTTTAATTTTGTTGTAATGCACCCTGTCCTTTGTAACTCCTATTTAATAATTTTGTAGCATCTCATGGTTCACATTTTAAAATGTTAAACGATGTGTCTCTAAATTACTACCATCTCTCAGCCATCCAATTCCCCTTCCTGGAAGGAACCCCCATTCCTTACTTACGTATCTGTTTCCAAGGATGCATATGTAAGTAAGTGTGTAATATGTTTACCCAGACATATATAAATACTCGTGTATGTTTATATAAGTATAGATATTCTTTTTTCTCTTCCTTCTTTTCTTTCTTTCTTTCTTTCTTTCTTTCTTTCTTTCTTTCTTTCCTTTTTGCAAGTGATAGCTGGTATTCATTTAAAAAAAAAAAGTCGTTTCACTGTTCTGCACCTTTCTTTTTCTCTCCATAATGATAGATCTTAAAGATTGCTTCACATCAGTACATAAAGTACCTAATGTGCCATTTTTAATACTTAGGAGGCCTTTGGTTTCACACTTTCAATAAATGTTTTATTTGGGGGCATGTAAAAAAACTAATTATACAACAAACAGAGCGGGGGCTAGGAATAGAATCTGGATCCCGTCTGCTTGCTGTGATTCCCCTTGACTTAGCCTTTTGTAACTAAGATAATGCAGTAGTTTTATTTCGGTGTAGCATTCCATGAGAGAATGGAGGTATCCTGTTCTTTAGGCCTGTGCTCCCCCTACTGGCTTTCCCCTGCCTGACAGTCACCCCCCTCCCCCAAAACACACCTTGGGAAGCCCAAATGGGAGCCATCTTGAAGAACTGGTGAATCCACATAAGACTTTATATTTTGTGAGGATTTTCAATTAATAGGCATTTTCCTGGAGGTACTCGTCACCAGAGAGTTGGCAGTTGTCTTACTTCTGCTAAAGAAGGGATGAGGTTCCTGTGACTTATCAACAGGTAGCTTGGAAGTTCAAGATCTTGGTAGCAGCATGAGCTGTCATGGATCAGAGCAGAGATGCAAAAGAAGGCCACCTGGGGTGGAGGTGGTGGCAGGGAAGAGCCACGATCCCTTCTTTAGGACGGGCCCTCCCCCAAGGACCCTCACTCGGGTTTCTGCTCCCCGTGTTGTCTGGGGAGCAGGAAGTAGACACACAGTGGTGGCCAGCTCCTGGGTTAGGTCGGCCTTTGCAGATCCCCAATGACATTGTTACTATCAGAAACTACTACTAAACACCTATCTGGAGGCCTGATGTCTTGAGGATTTTCCTAGACTCCTGGGTAGACATGGGCTGAAATCCCTCCTAAAACAAACCACAGCTAAATAAAAACCTTATCTTAAAATCTCCCCCATCCTACAAAAAAAAAAAAAATCCTCTCTCAAACCTGTTTATGCCTCAAGCTACTGCCCTAGCTGTCTCCTCCGATTCCCTGCTAAACTCCTTGAAGAGTCATCTGTATTCACTGCTTACAAGTTGCTCCGAGTCTGCTTCTCTCAACCCTGTCGCTTGGATTCTGGATTTCGCCCCCTCCACTGTCCTGAAACATCTCTCTCAAGGGCCAGGCACATCTTCTAGGTGGACTTCTTTCATCCCATGTGACCACTTTCCAGAATGAGACGGTATTGACCCCACCCCACCTGGATCTCTTTCCCCTTGGCTTCCAGGCACATGTTGCCCGGCTCTCCTCTTCCCTGGCCAGCTGCGCCTCTCTAGTCTTTTCTTGCCTTTCACAGGAGATACTCGAGGGCCCAGTTCTGCTGACTTCTCACACTGTGCCGGTGAGCAGACCTACCCCAGCCTCCATGCTCACCTCCGCATTCCCAGACTTTCCTTCGGCCACGAGGCCAGCTGTCAGACGCCTCACCTCCCTCCGTGTTATTACTCCATTCGGTTGACTTCCCACGTTCCCGCTGGCTTGTTTTGAACTGACTTGGACATTACCCTGTGGACTGGCCTTTCTGCTTCTACTCATACTCATTCCGGTCCATTCTGTACTCTGCATCGAGAATACTTCCCCTAAGCTTCATTATGCTGCTTCTGTGCAGGTTTTACTTCCAATATCTCACTGTTGCCAGTGTCTAAAAATCTCACCATTCTCAATTTGGCAACAAGATCATTCATGATCTGGGTCCTTAAAAACCACTCTGGATTCATCTTTCATTTACTTCGCTCCCACTCTGTGCTTCTGCTGAAGTACTTGTGCACTTCCAGGCCGACGTTTTGATTCTGGGCTCCCCGCCCCCACCCCCCAGCCCCTGGGCGAGTTAGTTGACTTCTCTGAATCCCCGTTCTCTCATCTATAAACTAAGTACATTAAGGGCTCCCTCATCAGTTGTTGCAAGGGGCAAGGGAGATAATACCTGTGCAGTGCTTAGAGTAATACCTGCGAGAGAGCAAGTGATGGAGAAATAGTATTCCTACCTTGGACAGGCTCTGTACGTGCATGTGTCTCTTTGTGTGTACGTCTGTCTGCCACTGGACTTTTAGTCCCTCCAATACAGGGACACAGGCTGCTTCTCTTTGCTATCCCCTACAGTCTCGATAATTGGGTGTTGCATTGGTCAGACTGAGCCCAGTGGACTCTGTTCCTCGTCTACTGCCTTCTCAGTGCATATTACCATCTCCCTCGGCTGCACCACACCACGTTCAGTGCACCATCTGCCATGGTTGTTCCGTGTCTGAAGCCAATCAGGAAGAGCCTTTTTGTCATTTGAGGAATCTTGGGTCATATCACAGGTCAGCCGGGCTGCATCTGTATTTCCAACTGTGAACAGTTTTTAAAGAGTACTCGCTCCAGACGCAAGAATGCTTGTCTAAATTAAAATCCCATTATGAGATGTTGGTTAAGACCATGCACTTTGGCGGGAAATTGAGTTGTAGGTTCAAATCCAGACGCATCACCAGCTGAGTTCTGCTTGTGATTCTGGTCAAGTTAACTGATTTCTGTGCCTCTGTGTCCCAATGACAGGAGTGGAGTAGATTGGAGGAGAGGACTGAGGGTTGGCAAAAGACACAACTTAGAGGTCAAGTGTGTGCCTTTGGGCAGTTTACTTAACCTCTCTGTTCTTTAGGGTCCACATTTGAAAAAAAAAAAAAAGAGGATAATAATACAACATGCACTGCAGGGTTTTTGTCAGGTCAGATGAGCTCACGTAAGCTCAGCAGGTGTTCAGCGTGGGCTCGGACTCATGGCCAGGACCCAGGAAAGATTAGTTTCGCTGTTCATGCTAACAGTAGTGTGGTTGCTATTGTTTTAAATAATGTTATTGCTACTATTATTGCTAGCACAACTCCCATTGGGTCCATTTTATTACCTCCAGCTCCGTATCAGATGCCTGTGACAGGCCAAAGAGAGCAGTCACCACTGACAAACAGGCAGGTCCCTCAAAGTACAGGACACCAGCAAGTTCGCCTCAGTCCATTCCTGAGAGACAGGGCTCTGTTGTCTGCGAATATCAGGAAAAAAGACAAAAAAAAAAACAAAAAAACAAAACAAAACAAAAAACCCAAATGTCTCTTCACCACGCCTCCAGACGTTGCTCTGATGGCATCCTTCAGCATACACAGAGGAGTTAAGCCTTATCTTTTGTTTCCAAGAGGCAGCCACATACAGATGATCTGATCTCGTTAAGAAACAGGCATCAACTTGAACTCTGCTGTGATTGCATCTCAAACCCATCAGCTGGTGAAAAGGGAGCTGGGATCAGAAGGTCTGAGCAAAATATTGAAAGCGAGATTACGAGGAATGGTGTTTATTGAAGGGTCAGAGACATGAAAGCAGAATAGACCCAACAAATAGGGTGAAAATTGAAAGTAATTGATAAAGTCTAGGCAGAATTTAAGACTTAAGGAAAAGCCTAGGTGAAGAAAACCACATATAGTAATGTCAGAGTTTTCTGGGAACTCAAAGGGAATATTAATTAAGATGCTGCAAGTCAATTCAGGTAAAATAAGGATGAATCCAAAGCCATATATATATGTGCAGATATATACATATTCATGTCTCTGTGTGTATGTGGGTGTGTGCAGCTATCTCTGGAACATAAAGAGAGGTAGGAGAACAATTCTGGCTTCTGATTTCTCTCGCTGAAAGGAATTGAAACTTTGCTCTTAAGGTGATTTCCGTGTCATTTTAGCACGGCAGCACCAAGAAAATCCCCCAAATACTATAAAGACTGGTTTTTCAATTTCTAGGCCAAAGGAAAATGATTGAAGTTTTAGATGACTATGAAATCATTTCCCAACCATGTTTAATTTTGTGTAGCGTGGAAGAGGGGAAATACCTGCCCACGTTTATGTCTTTCCATGCATACAAAGTTTGGCTTCCAAGAGTAAACAGTATAATCTTTTCGGACACACGTTCTAGAAATAATATGCCACAACGTGTCAGAATGGTCGCCTTGGAAATCGATGTAATTCTTCTAGCGATCCTGCAATTGCTGGAAGTTCTTTGGAAATGCCTGTTTCTTCATTCTTTCCATAGATAATTGCAAGCCTTGAGAAAAGGAAAGCCGTTTTCTTTAATCAAGTATATTTATTGAGCACCTACTGTCAACCAGGCATCCTGCTAGGTATCAAGAATGTGGAGATCAGTAAGACACAGGTTAGGTCTAAGCAGGCAGATCTTATTATTTTATTGACTCAACACCACGTTACCAAGCATGTTCGCCCATCTTATTTGTTAGACTTGGTTCTTTCCAGAACTCAGATCTACCCTCAAAGAATCAGGTGTGATACTACTAAGGGTATTCAAAATGAATTATAATTTTTTAAAAAGATTTTATTCATTTATTTGTGAGAGACACACAGAGAGAGGCAGAGACACAGTCAGAGGGAGAAGTAGGCTCCTTGCAGGGAGCTGGATGCGGGATTTGATTCCAGGACCTCAGGATCACAACATGAGCCAAAGGCAGATGCTGAACCACTGAGCCACCCAGGTGCCCCATGAATTATAGTTGTTAGCAATGAGCAACTCCCAAATAGAAATTGTGTAAGACATTTGGGCAATGATGGAATAATTGTTTAGCTTCCCCACCGTTGTGGCAAAGGACTCACTTGAATGGCAACTTTAATATTTTTTAATCATTCGCTTTATATTTTCATAAGTACTCTCAACAGTGTATGTGTGTAATATATTATATATTGTACATATATATTCTTTGCACATGCACACACACTGCTTTCTACATACACCTTAAATCTGAAAACCTTTTCTCTGAGATGCTCATTTGTCTGTTGCCATTTTCTCCCGTTTTCCAGAATCCTAGGGAATCGGGTGGCTGAACTGGAGAAAAAATTAAGAACTCTGGAAGTTTCTGGTTTGTGGAGTCTTCCAGGTAAGCCAACTTCATGAAAGTTATTTTCCTTTTTTTTTTTTAAAGGCAGCCCTCACATAATTATCCTTTTATTTGAAGATCATTACTGAGAAATTTATAAGCACTTTAAACTTAGAAGCCATCAATTTTGAGGAAATCAGAAAAACTCAGTAAATATGCAAGTTTTCATCTGTGAAACAATGACGTCTTGCTGGCCTAAATTCAGAAATTGTCATTGTCTATGTGTACGTTTTATTTTTCACCTTTGTAAATATAGTAAATTGTTTCATTTTTTTTACCCATAGGTATCTTAAAAAGACTTGTTCGTTTGAATTATCATCCCTAAAATTGAATATAAGAATGTGCAGAGATTTGTTCAATTTACTTATCAGTCCTAAAAATAAATATAAGAACTGACAGAAATGTGCTCTATTTAATTATCATTCCCCAAAAATGAATGAATCACACCTAAAAATAAATATGCTGACAAAAATTTGTTCTATTATCATTCCTAAAAATGACTGTAAAAATGAGTTTAAGAACCTTCCTCCCCCCTCTCTGCCCCTACCCCATTTTATGCAGCTCTAAAATAAAAATTCCCTTTGGAGATTTTTTTTTTCCTGCAGTTGTACATGTTGTGAGGAAACTCTGCTGTTTCACTTTAATTAGCTATATTTATCCTAATAAATACCCCCTTTATGAGACCCCCCCAGCCTCTATTCCCCTTCTCTTTACACTCTCCAGAAACTTGTATTTATCATTCTCCACCCCCTCCCTTTCCCTGGAAGCAGGATTGTACATATATTTTTAGTTACTTAACCTTTCTGCACAAACCAGCCTCCTCTACCCTTGAATCATATCAGTTGCTGCCCTGTTGTAATGTTCGAGAAATGAAAATTGCCATAGGGACATGGACAACAACAGGTTTTCTTAATGTAAATCTGAATAGCTGCCTTAGGTTGCCTGCAAGTGCATTTCATAAATTGGAAGTTTTAACAGAGATTCCTTGAACTTGATGTCAAAAGACCTAACAGAACTAATTAGTGGCAAGTGCCATTCTGGGGATTTGAATGATCCATTTTGCACGAGAACCTTTTGATGCCGTTAAAACCTTATCTTCTTTGAAGGCCTTTCTTTTTATTGCATTGAATTTCAACACAGTCAGGCAAATTTATCGTTTATTTGTGCAGTCAGATTGCTATTTCTGTGCATGTACTGGAGTTTTGATTTTTTTTCCCCCTTCTCCAAATGACTTAGTGAAATTTCACGATGTTTTATTTCTACAATTTATGTAAAAAGATGGAAGTTGAATAAGTAAAGGAACGCTGAGAATTTCCTCTCTCTGGTGTTGTTTGGTCTGGGTTGGAATGGCTATTATGCATTAACAATTCTTTCTTTCCTCTTTTTTTGCTGCCTGAAGGCCTGAGCTACAATGTTTCAGTAGGATTCGGGAGTATGTTCTGTTTAAAATATTTGTGTTTGTGGCTAATATCTGCAGTGCATTAATGTCATCCCCGCATGTAAATAAATAGAAATGCATTCTCTATGTATCATTGCACTTTTCTGATTAGAACAGTCAATTGAAATAGAGAATTCAATTAGTACCCGGCAAATATTAAATGGTAAAATGAGCTTTGAGGGACCTGGCTAAATCGATTTTATGCCACGGCCGTGTTTGTTTTAGTACCTGGCCTCCACATAGACACGAAGTGGGGGGACAGGAAAAACAGTGGGGCCTCCCCAGATGTCACAACAAGGCATCGCTTTGTGACATTTTTAAACCACAGAGGGAAATAGTAAGGGAAGGGCCTCTTGCCGTATAAATCCAATCAACCCCTTCCATCCACTCATTGGTTCCTGGTCCCCATTTAACCTACCGAGTACTGGAGGAAGGGGGAGCAAGGGGCAGCCTGTGCTTTCCTCCTCCCTCCCCTTCTACACCTCCACCTCCTTCTCATCCTTTCCTCCACCTCTTTCTCTTTTTCTTCCATTTTTCTTCCTCTTCCTCTTCCTCTCCTCCCCACATAGAAGCCATATCAGTTGCAACCCCCCGGAGGGGAATGAGTCACAGTAATTTCAGAGAATTGCTAGCTTTCTCTTACTTAGGAGCATCTTGAAAGGATCAGCGTTGTCTTTAACAAATCAGTCCATCAGTGTGTTGAAACCTTTTTTTTTTTTAAAAAAAAAAAAGATTTTATTTATTTGAGAGAGAGAGAGAAAGCACAAGCAGGGGGAGCAGGAGAGGGAGAATCAGGCTCCCTGGGCCAGGAAGTGTGATGCGGGACTTGATCCCAGGACCCTGTCTGTGATCATGACCAGAGCTAAAGGCAGATGCTTAACCGACTGAGCCACCCAGTCACCCCTATTGATACCTTTTTGAGCATCAACTTTGCGAATTCGGTTCTGCACCAAGCATTCTAGTCATGCCCCTTGCCCCCTCTAAGAATCCAGAGTCCCGCTGGGGAAGCGAGATGCGTACACATCTAGCAGTGACAAGAAAGCAGAAAGTGATGCATAATTAAGTGCCGAGTGATGAAGGCGTTGGTGTGTGAGTGAAGAATGTGAAGAGTCATCGACTGTCAGACCTGGAAGGATGTGGAGAGCCAAGAGTTCCAGGACGGCCAGCACTTGGTGTACATTATGGAACACCCATTGCCGCGCCAGTGTCAGGCATCGCTAATCAATCGCACGGCCCTTGCATGCTGCTTACACATGTGGCCCTCAGAACAGACGTCCCCACTGGTTTTCCAGGAAGCCACCTCCTGGCTAGAGTTGACACATGAGAGCAAACATTTCCCCTTCCCGGATCTAGTCTAACCCTCTCATTTCAGATGAAAAAATCAAGGCTTGGGAAATGAGAGGGTACCGAAGGCTGCAGGTGCTGGTATTGGACTCAGGTGTTTCCACCTGTGCTGGGGAACTGCAGTTCAGAGAAGAGAGGAATGGGAGGGGGGGCGGTGAGGTCAGTTGGGGACTGGTTTCCAAAGCAAGATGGACTGGAGAAGACGGATTCAGAAGCCAGAAGAGTCTCCCTTGAGACTCCGAGGGGCAGCGGTGAAGTCGGCCTTCCTCCAAGACAGAACTGCTGCTGGACTTCGAGTGGATGAGGACTGTTCTTTGGATCTCTTCTCCCTCCCTTTTCAGTCTCAGCCAACAAATACGTGGTTCTCCACGTTGTTCGATAGGGTTGGGGAGAATTTGTGATCTTGCTGGGAAACAGGCAAGTTTGACAAGTGTCCCAGCCCGCGTGGAGAAGCAGAGCATAATCCATATCTGGATAGCAGAGCATAATCCAGACTGCTTAATCGGTTCCCAGGAGGTGGGAAGGCACGGGCTCCTGTGAGAAATCAGGGTACTGGGTGGGGGGCAACCAACCTGGTCCCCTAGGAGGGAATGACACCCCTCCCCCCAGCCTCAGTTTCCCCAGCCCTTTGCTAGCCTCTGCAGGGAGGGTGGTGCTTAGGGGCTTTGACGGGAGGTTTCCTGGATGTGCTCCTGCTCCAAAAAGAAACCCTCAAAGCCAGAAAAAAAAAAAAAACCTGGCAAGAGCAGAGCCTGGCTCTTCGAGTTTTTCATTTTAATTCTCTCTTCTCCACTCTAAGCATCAGCCTGAGGAGGAAAATGTGCAATTTTGAAAGTGCTTGGTACATTTGGGAGGAGGGGAGGAGGGGAGGAGGGATGCTGTGTTTCAGGGAGCCAGGAGGGCTTCCAGGCACTCACGCGCCAGCAAGTGGAGGGGCTGCCAGCAAGTGGAGGGGCTGCAGCTTGACTCCTTGTGGGCCACCTCGCCCCACCCCTCCTCGTCCAGGCCCAGGCACCAAAATGAAACAGTGAGATGGCACATTATCGGGTTGGAGCTCATGTCCCTCAGCATAGATGGAAGCCAGACTGAGCAACAGCGGGACAGGCTTCTGGGGAGGCCTGCAGATCCTTCCAGCACTTGCAAGAAGGATCAAATCTTACCATTTTACCTTCGGGTTAGGACATGATCTCTCCAGGCAGGAATTCCGGGAAGTGCTTATCCTCTCCCCGCCCGCCCCCCACTGTGATGGGCCATGGAGTGGCTTCCCTCCCCTTCTGCTTGTCACTCCCTCTTGGAGAGGCTGGTGCTGGTCCTGTGTTTCAGTGGAGCCCTTGTGCCACAGATGATGCTCTGCGGCTGGAGAGGCCCACGGAGGCCTGGCACCCTGGAGAACCCCTCATGACAGGAAGGGCTGAGGGCCTCCCGTAGGGCCACCTTCGCACTCAGCTGAGGCCGGCTCCCGGCTCTGCCCGTAATTCTGATTCCTGGGCCACCAGGGCAGAGGGGACTCGGAGGGCTGGCCAGGACACAGAGGGGCAGCGTGTGTCTCTTCCTGCAGGAACAGCCTATCTGCTAGGGAAAGGGGCCTCAAGAAATGGAATTTTCCCTGACTTGGGGATAGCAGTGGTTGCCTTGATCGAGGGAAAGGAAAGAAGTCCACCCTGAGGCATCTGCTGCGGGGTCCCAGGAACCCTGAAAGTGTTCCCAGCTGGTCCTTGCAGTACGAAGGGAGACCTGATGGCGTGTATTTCTTCCTGAGAGCCTCTTAGCAATAGCCCAGCCTGTAGATCTAGTTCTCTTTGGGACAGTTCTCCAGACTGCGTCCTTAAAGATTTCGGGTTTTTTTCTATGTAAGATAGTAGCTGTGCCAGTGGAGAGCTTCAGGATTGGCTCCCGCCAGACTTCTCTTCTGGGATGACCCTCGGCAGAAACCAGAGGGCTCTTTCTGCTTAAAAAAAGCACCTTTAGGGCAGCCCCAGTGGCGCAGCGGTTTAGCGCTGCCTGCAGCACAGGGCGTGACCCTGGAGACCCGGGATCGAGTCCCACGTCGGGATCCCTTCATGGAGCCTGCTTCTCCCTCTGCCTGTGTCTCTGCCTCTCTCTCTCTGTCTCTATGAATAAATAAAATAAAAAATTAAAAAAAAAGTACCTTTGCCCACCACAACATCAGGAGTCCCAAGAATCCATCACCTATTTATTCAGATGTTCACTGACTATTTATTAAGCACCTACTGTATGCCAAACTCTCTCCTATAGTCTTGGAAATGAAGTTCCCTAATGGGAAGACAGTATTGTAAGCGGACTGAGGGCTCAGAGGTATGGTCCGAGGTCTACCTGGTTCTCTGAAGGAGGATTCTTTAGAACCCTGTAGAATTCTGTAGAGATGCAGAAATACCATTCTCTCTACAGAAATACCATTCTGTGTCTGCTGAATCTGAAACAGGGTAACATCACAAAGCTTTGGGGTCCCCGATCTGAGCCCCAGAGAGGTTTAATGGCTTGGCTTTAGAAAAGGTCATGCTCAGATTTGGACAGCTAAGGCTGGAGCACAGGCTGGGACCACAGACCGGGGGGGGGGGGTGTTTCGTTTTCGGCACTGCCGTTGCCACCAAGGGAATAACCGGGCCTTGTGGACAGAAGTCTGGGATCAGATCCGCTTGTTGTGCTCTCCTGACCCCTGGGCAGCATCCCTTCATGTCCACGTGTTTTGTGTCTGTGTGTCTGTGTTCACGATGCCCGTGTTTCAAAGCCATGCTTCCCTGCTCCTGGCTTCCAGAACTTGCCATGGCCCCAAGAGTAGAGGCATAACAGTCTTTCCCTCAGCCCCTCTGTCCACTTGCAAACTTCATACAGATAAAAGGGTTTGGCTGGAACGGGACTCTATGTTCTAACAATATGGGGAAACCTGATACCACCTGCCTTATGACAGTCAGTACTCGGTCTAAATGACCACAGTGGATTAAACCAAAGGTAGTGTATATGGCAGTGCTGTCTACACTGTAACAGAATAATTTCAAAATATGTGTACTGAGCACTAATGAAGTGCTTAAGTGCTTTCCCTGGATCATTTCACTTCATCACCACTGCCCAACGAGGTGGGCGCTGCCCATTTTACAGATGAGGACTCCGAGGCCAGGTGGCTCGCAGGAGGTCAGCCCACTAGCAGGCGACGGAGTCCAGAACACAAACCCCATAGTGTGGCCCCAAAACCCGCACTCCGAAATACTCTGCTGTGGTTAGGCCTGTTGTCATCTCACCCAGATCAAAGCCGCTCACTTTTGAGCCAACCTAACAGGCTGCCCTGTAATGATGGCATTCGTGGGAGGCCACGTCCTGAGCAGACTCTCAGGACCCCCAGACTGGCCCTGGACCTCACTGCCTGGTCCTCACACTACAGAAGGAACCTGCTGGCCACCTCCCTTCCACAGCATTACCTATGATTAAAGAAAGTGCCTCGTTCACCCAAACAGCCAGTCGATTGTGTGGGGCGAATATCACCACAAGTCAGCTGGTGACATATTATGTCCATTTCCCCCTTTTCCACAACAGGGAGCAAGGACACCATACTCTTCAGTGACCCCAGTCTTCCCATACAGAGGTCAAGATCCCCCCTGCTGAAGTTCATCGAGCAGCCCACTGAGAACAAAGCAAATTCCCAGGACGGTAAGTACACCTTGATTTCTCCGCCTCTGCCCGACCTGGGCCTGGCACAGAGGTGGGCTCGGCGGACGTCAGTTCTTCCCCTTCCTGCAGCTTCTCTGGCGCCGCGAGGTCATCCCTTGCATTTCCTCTTGTTGCCTACATGGTTTGTCTTTTTTGGGGGCTTCCAGCAGAAGAATGCAGGCCTCTGTCCTCAGCACAGTGGCACAGAGGTTGAGAGAAAGGGCTCCGGACTTGAACAGCTCAGGCTCATACTCTACCCCCACATCGTGTTGGCACTGAGAATTTGGACTAGTGACTTCTGTCTGTTGCCTCGCCTCTGTGCTGGTGAGATGATGGAGCCACCCTTGGGGAGATCTTGGCACATTGCCGGGCACAGGGTGTGTGGTGTAGGAATCAGTCGAAAGCAGAATAAAAGCTTCTCCTCTACCAGACACACCTTCTGGAGGCAGAGTGTCTTGAAGGGGATCACAGGCCCATTGAGGGTGCCGGAGAAGCCCACAAGGGCAAGTCGCAGCTGTCTTCCCAGGTGGCAATCTTGTTTCCCCAGCTAAACTATCTTTCCCATCTTTCTAAGTTTTCTTTTGTCATCTTTTGCTACCCTCAGTGTGATTGCCAGCTTCCGGCATGGCCCCAAATGATCCCCTCTTCCTGGTATTCATGCCCTTGTATATTTCTCTCCACGTTGTATCAGGATTCATCCATGTGACTAATAGGATACAGCATAAGTAATGGTACGTGACTTCGTAGGCCAGGTCATAAAACATATATAGGGTTTTCCTTGCTCTCTCTGTCTTGGGTCATTCTCTCCAAAGGAAGCTGGCTGTCACGTCTTGAGGATACCCAAGCAGTCCCACATGCCATTCATGTGGTCTGGAACTGGGCCTTCTAGCCACCAGCCATATGGTGGAAGCAGATTCCCCAGCCCCGGTCAAGCATTCAGATGACAACAGCCCTCATTAACATTTTAATGATAATTTCATGAGTGACCACTAGTGAGAACCACCCAGATAAACTTCTCCCAGGTTCCTGAGTCTCTACCTGCTAAGTTTGGAAGTCATTTGTGGCACAGCAATAGGTACCTAATATACCCAGCATGCAGGTGCCAAGGTTCTTTCCTTGATTTCTATATTTTTTCTCCATTTTCTCTTGCTCTGAGTCATGCCTGCAACCATCACCTCTATGAAAATATTCTCAAAATATTTCCCCCCTACTAGGTGCCATCTGCAGACTTTCAGCCTCTTATTTCCCAAAGTGCAAACTTTACCACCTAAATATTCTTTGGACTTCTCAAGTATGATGTCACCAACTCTCCACATTTCCTCCCTTTTTCGTCACTCCCTCAGCTACCCAGCTACATCTGGAGTCACCATTGACCACTGTCAACTTTCCTTCCCCATCCACATCTGGTCTGGGGCCACGCTTTCTTCAGAGTTTCTCACACCTCCATTCCTACCACCTCTGGCTTTGGCTTAACCCTCTTGCTTTCCTCAACAGGAATTCAGTCCCAATTTCCCTGTCTTCTAGACTCTCCCTACTTCATTCCCGTCTTCCCTCTGCTTCTGTACAATAAAGCTTCTGGAGAACTGCTCTCCAACATGTCTGTACCCTGCTTAGAAATCTCTAGTGGCCCCCAATTGTCTTCCTCTTAACATTGTAACCCTGCCACCTGGGCTGCCCTGTCTTTCTAACCTGATGATTATCTGACCTAAAAACTGTGCTTTTATCAAACTGTACTAACTAGTCGAATCCGTTGCTACCACTGTGTAACAAACCACCCCAACATGTAGAACTGGAAGCAGCTACCATGTACTATTTATCAGGAGTCTTTGGTTCAGGCGAGCAGTTCTGCTAATCTGAGCTGGGCTCGGCAAGGCTCACTCGTGTGCATCTGCACAGCTATGTTTTGAAGCTTGTCTCAATCACTCATAACAGTGCATAGAATGGTAAGAATAGGACAGGTCTAGGATTTCAACAGAGAGGATCCCCAAGCGTATGCAAGGAGAATTCTTAGAGAGAGAGAGCCCCTGACTCGGGTGGCTTTCACACTGGCCAGAAGGCAAGGCGGCTCTTTCCAGCCAGCAGCACGCGGCTGTTTGCAAGTCTGGCCTGTAACACACCATGGCCCACCGTGCAGTCTGGAGCGTGCCTTGGCCGATGGTCATCCCATGCCAGCACCCGGTGTCCGCGTGGAGATCTGAAGCCCTCTGTCTGCTCTGAGCTTGCAGAGCCCCTGGGTGGGCGCAGGCCTGCTAAACTGAAATGCAACATGAGCCGGGCTTGATTTTCACAAGGGTAGCATAAGTAATGGCCTGATTCAAAATGATAGCTTCCAGAGTTCCATCATTAGCTCTCATTGTTCCAGGCCTGTCCTTCACCAGTGCGGGTGGGAATAAGGAAGCATTTATGTAGCGGCTGTCAGCGTCTGGGATGGTCTCATCACCGCCGCATCTCTGATTAATTCCAAGTGAAAGAAGCTCCCACTTGGGAGGACAAAGCCCATCGGAGATCAGTTAACAAAAGAAGATGAATGTCCCCTTTGGGCCAATGTGGGAGGGTGACACATTTTTGGGAGACTTGTTAGTCAACAGTCTTCCTGCGAAGAGCTACTTTTTTCTTCATCTTTTTAGAGAAGAATATTTTTTTGTTCTGTACTATTTGTGTCATAAAGCATTTATATCAGTTGATTGCCTCCTCATTATTGATATGTGTTTGTTATTAATAAGTATTAATGACGCTAATTCTGTTTGCTAAAACAGCACAGGATAATTACAATGATTTTCTAATAATATTTCCCCAGGCGGAGCTAGCTCAACAATCCTTCTTTAATGGAAATGGCAACACTATGTGTCCATTCTCAAAGGAAAACCAGAACTCTCGCAGTTTAAGAGTTAACAGAATCACAGAGTTAAAGGAAGATTTTTGTTCCCCCAGCAAGTAGCAAAGGCCCTAGTTATACAGATCAACAGCTGTGGCATTTTCGGTAACTTTTCTTTGTCTCCTGAAAATGACTTGGGTGTACTTTTTAGATATCTTTCAGATAACGAAAGGGTGGAGAGGATTGATAAATCTTGCTGTTGACCCATAATCTAATCCTGGTTGGAGCCTGGCCCCTCTATCTTTATGGTCACAAGGCTCTGAAAATCCAGACTTCCTCAGAAAAAAAAAAAAAATTCCCCGATAGGACCAAACAATAGAATTATGGTGTTGTCCACCTCCTGCTTGCAGCTGTATTTTGACCTCTAAGGATGGCAGCAGTGTTGCTACCCTCCCTCCAACCCCCAAAAAAGGTTGAAAAGTTCTCCCTGGTAATCTCAGAGGTTTGCCATTTTAAAAAAGATTCATGCGTTTGGACATGAGCAGAATGTCATCTAAAGAAATGGCACAAGGCAAAGTACCAGCGACCAAAAGGCCCCGGTGTAATTTAGACCACCCTTCCTTCGGTGTAAATTAAGGTAGAGAAGATTAGCCTGACCCACAGTAAAAACAGCGCAAATGGTTTAGGGGTTAGGTTGTTACAGGTAAGGTTAATTAATTTTTCAGGGGCACCGGAATATACTATTAAGTGTCCTGGAAGAAGTAATTTCATAAGAGTAATTTCCAGAAGGAGTTTATTCATCTCACGTTGGTGAAAAATTTAACTGCAGAAAGGACCGTAATTTACCCATTCTTGCTCCTTGGTTGGAAACTTGCTCATTTTGACTCTGTGTTTCCCATCGCCCCTGTACAACCACCATAAAAGTTTTCTTCTGTTAGTATGAAAATTATGTTATTGCTTCCCTGAGCTGCCCCGGATGGAGCTAAATGTGTGAGTTAGAAGTCTTTTTTTTTTTTTTTCCCGAAATTGCCATTGTAAGAACTTCTTCGGATCACAAGCCAAATACAGCCTCGAACAACTACCATACGTTCAAGGGCTGCTTTCGTTTATGTACGTGTGGCATCTCCATATCTGATACGTTCGTTTGTTCACGCATTCATATATATGTCTGCAGGCCTGAGCATTTAATAAGCTATTTATTGAGTCCCCACTATATATAGAACATTGGCACAGCTTAAACACTGATGGGGAAAAAATAACAATAAATACAAAATAAAAACTGGCAAGGTACAGGTAAGGTCTTGTACTCCAGGTGATCTTTATAAGCCAAGTACACCCAAGTAACAACTAAAGGGGTGAAAGAGTAAAAAGGTACCACAGGGTTCCCCCGGAGGTCTAGATGCAGCTTTGTGGAGATTAGGGTGCTGTAGAGATGACATCTGCCCGGATTGAATCCCACGGGCTTTGGAGTGGAGGTGGAGATGGAGCCAGCCACCTGCCTGCATGATGGAGGCGACACCGCGCCATCATCCACGCAGCCAGAGGCCTAGGGGGCAGGGCTGGGGGGAGTGTGGGGCTACAAGGGCAGGAGTTGGGGTGTCAGTAGAAAGGTAGATGGAGGTTGAGTCATTCAAGGCCTAGAACGTCAGGCCAGGAGCTCAGACAGATTAGTGACTACAAAAATAGATTTGTGTGTAAAGCTCTTGATGCTTCTTACGCTATAATGTGCACCCAGATCGCCTGGAACCTCGTTAAAGTGCAGATTCTGGGGGCGCCTGGGTGGCTCAGCAGTTGAGCATCTGCCTTTGGTTCAGGGTGTGACCCCAGGATCCTGGGATCGAGTCCCGCATCGGGCTCCCTGCATGGAGCCTGCTTCTCCCTCTGCCTGTGTCTCTGCCTCTCTTTCTGTGTCTCTCATGAATAAATAAAATATTAAATAAAAAAATGCAGGCTCTGAACCAGGAGGTGTGGGGCAGGGCCTGAGATCCTACATGTCTAACAAGTTCCCAGGCTGCGGTGCCACCACTCTTTGTGGACCCCACTTGCAGTGGCAAAGTTTTAGGCGAGGTCCCTCCCCAGGCTGTTTGGATCAGAGCGGGGGCAGGGGGGAGGGGAGATGAGAAGCAAAGAAACCCATTAGGAAAGAACGTATTATTCTGGCTGAACTGATCTAGTTATTTTCTAA